CGGCGCGGCCCCGCCCCGCCCGCAGGCAGCTGGCCCCGTGTCTCTTTCTTTGTAGCCCCCCGCTCCCAGCGGCTGGGAACGCGGCTCCCCCCCCCTCCATTTTCTCGCGACGACCTTGAAAGGTAGGTCAGGCGGAGAGTGTGTGCGAGGGGTGCTTCCGCGGTAGGAGTGGGCATTCAAGCCCAGCTCTCCCAGGATCCGAGTCCAAGGCTCCCCCCCCCCCTGGGGACCCTCTGGTCTGAAACTGGCCCCTGCTGAGGAAAAGGCAGGAAGCAGGCGGGGAAGGAAAGGCGCTTTGCACGTGCTCAGAGGCACGGGCTCCTCGTTTGCATTCCCAGTCCCAGCTGAGCCGGGGAGGTTTCCTTCTCGAAGGGGCTACTGCTCCACGGGCTCCACCTACCGAAGACGGGGGACGGATGCGGCCAGTCCCTCTCTGAACGGGCTCGGAAGCCCCCCCGCCCCCCCCCCCGTATTTAGGGTATTCTGCACCACCTCCAGGCAGACAAGCAAGTTTCCCATGCAGGGCCTGTAAACAGTTTGTTTGTTTGTTTATTTATTTATTTATTTATTTATTCTTTCGATTTGTAGACCGCTCACCCCCTAAGGGCTCTGAGCGGTTTTACATATACAATTTATTACAATCTCTTCATAGGGCCACAAACATACAACTGAGGGGGAACTGACTAACCTAACAGGCACCCATAGCGGAGTCTTTGTTGTTATGGTCTCTTTTGTGGGGAGGTCTTTTCAATCCGGCGTCAGCGTCTTTTTTCTGGCACAGGTCTTCCTCTGGTCGTCGCGGCTCTTTTTCCGGGTATGGGCCATAGTGCACGTCCGCGCATGCTCCCGCAGCCGGCCTCTGTCCAGAAATCAGAAACCAACCAGCCGTTCGTTTGTTTTTAATTTCCACAAGCCCCGGGGGGGGGGGGCCTGTTCAAGAACCACACAGGCAGCCCGCCACGTGTTGTTGTGTTTTCCCCTGCCTTCACTCCCCCTGGCCTTCATACTCCTGCACAGTTTCCCCCATGGGCCTTCTTCGCCATTTCCACAACGGCCCTGTGAGGTGGGCCAGCATGAGCCAGGTCCTCTTGCCCAGGTCCTCTTGTGGAGGCCGTGGCGCACACGCTCCAGCTCGCGGGGGAGGGGGATCGGGCAAGGGCCGAGGAGTCCACCCCACAGCGGCCGCTTTCTCACTGCCGGACGGCTGCGTAGGTGGTCTCTTCCTCCGCTCTGCCGCCCTCCCTTTTCAGCGCCGCCCTCTTCTTGTCTGGAGCATCAGAGAGCAGCAAGCTGGCGTAGACCGGGCCTGGGGGCTCCCCCTGAGCCCGGGGGCCGGTGGGGGGAGGCAGGGGCAGGGGCTTCTCCAGAGGGGGGGCTCTGGCTCCTGGAATGGAAATGGCACCCATGAGGAAGGGAGAGGAGCACCGACTCCCCTTCCGCAGGTGGGCTGTGGCAGCCGGACCTCCCCCCACCTCACCTCTGCAGTGGAGCTCCTGGTATTCGGGCTCTTTCTCGCCCTGCCCTCTGCTGGCAGCTCTCCTGCAAAAGAAAAGCAGAGCGTTGCCCCCCCCCCCAGAACTGCAGCCTTTCCCATCATCACCGTCCAGAGCAGCGGCCTGGCTGCGGGACGACACTGAGCAGGTGCAGGAGCTAGGCCACAGAGCTGGGGGCAGGGGGGGGGAGCCACGGCCACCCTCCCTCTTCAGGCCGACTGCCCCTCCTCTCAGGCCGGGCCTCCATGGAGGGTTTTGCGCCAAGTGCGACCTGCCCCCCCCTGCTCTGACCCACGGCGTCAGGGGAAGCCACATGGTGTCAAGGACCGGCCCTCCCACCCAACTCACCTGGTTTGGGTTCTCTTTTGGCAGTGATCTGGGAGGGGGAGATAAGAACATAACGTAAGTAGAGCCCGCGGGAACACAGACCTGGGGTCAGTCTAGTCCAGCATCCTGTCTCTCACCGGAGGGGGGGGAGGAGGAATCACTTGTCCTGGAGGTCCAAATAGCCAGGAGAATGTCAAGAAATTAGACCTTTAGTCAGTTTCTTGTTCTTTCATTAAATATAGGCTTAAACACAGGCAGGCCTTATATGAAAGATCTAGGCCTGTAAACGGGTTGAAGAGATCGAAAGGGGACCATCTGGCTGCTGTCATGGGAGAGCTGGCCAGTCCCTTTGTGCCTTTGAATAGCAGAGGCGAAATGGAGCCACACCATTTGGTCACTGAACACACACCTCATGCGCTCTGTTGATGCTTGTCTTACACTTCAGAGGGTAAACATCCTGTCATAAGCTGTTCCTCTTCTGAACCATTTGATATCACAGTTGCATGTCAGAAAACTTCAAGGGTCTGAATTTTGTATTGGCTCAAGGGCCCCAGCCTATGCAAATTTTAGACTTTAAGAAGTTTAGCTTTCCAGCTATCCGAAGGCAATGGACTGACCTTGCTATAGGTGCCTGCCTGGCACATCCACCCACCCAGGATCCTCTTTGGACAAAGAGACTTGGAAAGATGCCTGACTTCAACCATGAATAATAACACCTGGTAAACATGAGTTAAGTATGTACTGTTTAGTTAGAAACTTTCTGTGTAGCTTTCTTGTTTTTCTGCTCATTACTCGGTTCGTTTGAAATATCCTTGCACTCTTTAATTAATAAAAAAATACTTTGACTATACCTGGTTGTTCTGTACGTCAGAAGCTTCAGTACCTTAGACTGGAAGTGTCCACCTTTGTTGTTGTTCAGTCACACAGTCGAGTCCGACTCTTCGCGACCCCATGGACCAGATCCCGCCAGGCCTTCCGGTCTTCCGCCGTCCTCTGAAGTTTGCTCAACTTCATGTTTGTTGCATCTATGACACTGTCTAACCATCTCATCCTTTGCCGTCCCCATCTTCTTTTACCTTCAGTCTTTCCCAGCATCAGGGTCTTTTCCAGTGAGTGCTCCCTTCTCATTGGGTGGCCAAAGTATTTGAGCTTCAGTTTCATTATCTGGCCTTCCAGGGAACAGTCAGGGTTGATTTCTTTGAGGATTGACTGATTTGATCTTCTTGCAGTCCAAGGGACTCTCAAGAGTCTTCTCCAGCACCATAGGTCAAAGAATCTATTCTTCGGCGTTCGGCCTTCCTTATAGTCCAACTCTCGCAGCCATACATGACTACTGGGAATACCATTGCTTTGACCATGCGGACTTTTGTTGGCAGGGTGACGTCTCTACTTTTTATCATGCTGTTCAGGTTCGCCATCGCTTTCCTCCCAAGGAGCAGGCGTCTTTTAATTTCATGGCTGCTGTCACAGTCTGAGGTGATCTGGGATCCCAGGAACGGGAAGTCTGTCACTACTTCCACGACTTCCCCTTCTATTTGCCAAGGAGTGATGGGGCCGGATGCCATGATCTTAGTTTTTTTGATGTTGAGCTTCAAGCCCACTTTTGCGCTCTCCTCTTTTACACTGAGCAAGAGGCTCTTTAGGTCCTCTTCACTTTCTGCCATTAGAGTGGTATCGTCTGCATATCTGAGGTTGTTGATCTTTTCCCCAGCGTCCACCTACTGGTTAATTATTCGTAGAAACTCATTCTGCAAGTGGCCAGCCTTGCAGGGTTGATTTCCTGGATTAGTCACAGGAAAACTGGAAGTTTGCCCTTTGGCTTCTAGTCATCGGGACAGTCAAAAGGGCTGGGAGTTCTTGACAGAGAAGTATTTCTGTTTCTCTGTCCTGAGCCTATTTCCCAACAACTTCATTGGGTGCCCCCAAATCCTGTTATGGGGCAAGGAGAAGAATCTCTTTATTCACTTTCTCCACCCCAGGCATGATTTTATAACCCTACCCCTATGTCTCCCCGTGGCCATTTTTGTCTACACTGACTCTTCCCGCCCTTCCTCATAGGGATGGCGTTCCACCCCCACCCCACCCCCTTTGTGCTTTCTTCGTACTCTGCAGGATCCTTTTGGAGATGCCGTGACCGGAGCGGCACACAGGATTCCAAATGAGGCCACACGACAGGGTCTGTACAGGGGGCATTGCAATATATTGGGAGCTTCGTTTTCAGTCCGCACGATCTGGCTAAATGGCCAAATCCTTCTGTAAAATGGCACATTGGTTGCCCCTGACGGGACCCGCGTGTGTGTCTCCCCCGTGACTCTTCTAGTCTGTCTCTGAGCTGGCATTTCCATCAGGCTTCCTGCTACAAGCCCAAGATCTCTTCCACTCACTGCCACTTCAGAGTCCATCGATATATACGTAAAGTGAGGTTTCTTCTTTGGTTCAGGTGTGACTACCTTACAGGTACCCGCGAGGGACTTCACTGTCGCCCTCTTACCCAATTTAGAGAGGGCCTCCTGGCGCTGTTCACAATATGCCTTGGTTTTCACCATCCTGAATAATTTTGTGTCAACCGCAGACTGTTAACCCCTGGGTCCCAGGTCATTTATGAACAAATTGAATAGCATTGGCCCCAGTCCCTTTTGCTGTCTGTACAGGGATGGGGTGATTCATACATTTAAAACATAAATAAAGTGAAATAAATACCCATCCTTGTGGGACCCCACTGCTTACTTCTTTCCTTTGGGGGAAGAGTCCATTTGTTCCTCCTCTCGGCTGCCTGCCATTTAACTGATTCCTCATCCCCCAGAAAGGGGGCCTGTCCTCTCCTCCCCCCCCCCATTCCCAAGCTTACTCCCTCGTTCCGGAGTCCAGCTCTCTCACTAGGGCCTTGGCCTCTGGGCCCGGCTTCGTTGGCCCTCCAGGCAACTCACGGGCCCCCCAAGTGGGACAGCAGGCTGGACAGGACGGACCAACCCTTGCTGGGAGGGGGGTGATCTAGCAGGGCACCTCTGGAGACGTGGGCCCTGCTGTGGGGGGGGGAGACACACACCCCTCTCATGCTGCGATCAGCAGTCACCCCGTTACCTTTTCTCTGGGCGAGGAGGAGCATCGCCAGGCCCAGAACGATGGCAGCTGCCAGGAGGATGGCCCCAGTCGACACCCCTGCGAGGAAGGCCGTGGTGTGATGCCTTCCCTCTGGTGGCTGTGGGGGTGCTGAGCGAGAGAGAGAGAGAGAGAGAGCGGTGGCCTCTGCTCTGGCGGAAGGGGCCTCTTACCCTGGAGGAGTCCAGGGGGCAGGAGGGAGGTCCCTGCCAGACAGCCTGCCGAGTGGCTTTGCCAATGCAGGAGCACAGAGCAGGCGTCTTGGACGTGGCGGAGGGAGGGCACATCTGTGCTACCACCACCACCCCCGATCTATTCGGCACGTGGCCTGCTTGGCCTGTGGTGGTGGTGGGGTGACGTTATCCCCTTGTCCTCCCCCCCCCCAGGTCCTTCCTCCTTCCACCCCAGGTGTCCTGTGGGGGGGGGACAGCTGCTGCAGAGAGCGGGGGGCGGCGGAGGAACCTGTGAGGGGGCGGGAGTGGGGAGGTGCATCAGAGAAGAGGTCCATCAGTGGCCCCCGTGAGCCACAAGGGATAGACAGGGGCTCTGGGCCAAGGGATGCTCTGTCTTCTTGGTGCTTGGGGGGGGGCAACAGTGGGAGGGCTTCTGGTGTCATCTGGCCCCACTGCTGGACCTCCTGGTGGCCCCTGGTATATTCTGGCCCCTGTGTGACACAGAAGGGTGTTGGGCTGGATGGGCCTTTGGCCTGATCCAGCATTGGCGTCTCTCTTATGTTCTTAGGGCTGGAGGCTTACCTGTGACGGTCAGGTTGGTCCCCGTGATGGTTTGCCATTCCTTTTCTTTACCAAATTGGGGCTTCACGGAGACGCGACAGAAATAAAGCCGGGAGTCAGACTCCCTGAGGGCCGTGATGCGGATGGAAGCCGTGTGCCGCTGTCCCTCCTCCCTGTCCAGAGAGACCCGTCCCTGGAACTCCGGGTCCGTGTGCCTCTGGTCCAAGCAGCAGCTGAACAGGTAGCGGGTGGAATGGAAGCCTCCCAAGCGCCAGCGGACCTGGGCGGCGGCGGAGGGCTCCCACCTCGAGTCGTAGCTGAAGCGGCAGGGCAGGGTGACCGATCCGTTCACCACGGCAGAGAGCTGGGTGGGCTGGCAGACCTGATACTGCTGATGACAGACGCAGCCGGCTGTGAAGGAAGCAGGTGGGTGACGAGGGGCTGGCGCTCTGCGATAGAGGGGCGGGGGGGGCCCTCTCAGGTGGGGCGAGGGCGCCTGGGCAGCAGCAGTCGGGAAGAGGGGGAGGGGGTTGCAGAGGGACACGTCATTCAGCTGCCCACAAGCTCTGCGACTTCTGCCCGGGTGACAGAGCTCAGGTTGAAGATTCCGAGCTGCAGCCTGTTCCCTCTGCAACCCCCCCCCCCGCCGCCCCCCCACACTGTGGAAGCCTCTGACAGAAGTCTCTAGGAGACCCTCCCATCAAGTGGGCTCTGCGCCGGGAAGCATCGCAAATACATTGGCTTGTTGCCCACCTTTTGGCATGATGCGGGGGTGGGGGAGGAGTGCCCGGGGACCCAACGAGGTGCTGGTGCCTCTGTGCCAAGGTTCCCCCCCCCTCGCGCATCAAGGCTGGCCACTGGAGACACCCTGGCGTCCCTGCGTGGCCAGAGCTGCCTCCTCCCGGCCAGGAAGGGCCCTCGGCCACAACCCGTGTGAAGGTCCTCCGGCCAACAAGGCAGCGGAGCCCAGAGGCCCCAGAGGCAACGGGAGAGGTCAGAGCTCCGCCCCCAACCGCTGTGGTCCCGCCCACAAGCCCCACCTTGACCAAAGGGGGTCGCACGCGCGCACCCCCACATGGCCAGGCACCCCACACCCAAGCACACCCCCCCCCCCGGTGCTGCATAACACCCCTCCCGCGCCCGGGTGTCCACCCCGGCAATGCCTCCTCCCACAGCCGGGGGCGGTCCCAGTCAGCTCCGCCTGACGGTACATCCCGTGGCCGGCAGTGGGGTGTCCTCCCTGTGGGGGGAGAGATATGGGGCGTGGGGGGCTCTGTCGGGTTCCTCCCGCATGGCAAGAGGGCACTTAGCAACGGGGTGGGGCTGGGATGCACACCTGTGAGGTGCCCCGGAGGGCGCTGGCTCTGGCCACTCCAGCCACAGTAGGGTCGCCAACCTCCATGGGGCACCGGGAGACCTCCCCCTATTACAAGGTGATCTCCGGATGGAAGAGATCCGCTCCCCTGGAGAAAGTAGCTGCTTTGGAGGGGGGGCTCCAGGGCATTGTATTTCACTGAGGTGTCCCCCCCAAAAAAACCCCCACCAAACTTCAGGTATGTCCCAATGCAGAGCGGGTGCCCCCGCCCCACAGGCCTCCACTGGGGTTGTGTTCTCAGCAGATCTGTTGGGTATTGCAAGTTGAAAACACTCCGTGTATCTGGGGTTAAATGTTTGTTTGCGTTGCTCACAGGAAGTCACACGTGTTTCTCATGTAACCAATGCTGTTTATTGTGTTGTGGGTTGACCGCGTGGCTAGGCCCACTCAACTCCCATAACATGGTGCACGCTTGACTCTTACACAACTAAGACAAAGACAAACGGCCAGGAGGCCAACTATATACATATCCAGGGGACACCCCTGGATCCCATTGGGGGGTTTGCATTTCCCTCCCTGTTCCTATTGGCTCCTTGTTGGAGAGACCCGGAGCCCAGTCCCATTGTTCACCCAGGGTCAAGCCCTGGGTAGTCGCTGGCCCCTGGTGGCGGCCAGTGGACACAACACTGTTTTAGGAGTCCAGGCCCAGGAAATTTCTCCCTGATCTAGGAGTTTGATTGGAACGAAAGTGTCAAAGTGTTTTTGCATTTTATGGCTCCTCTTCCCATCTTTGTTTTGGTGTTCTGAAGAAGGAGAGCAGCCATTCCCTCTTCTAGTTTTATCTTTGTAGAGTAAGGATGTAGCCGATTCTGCTCTGTTGTTATTTTCATCCTAGTTACCCTTCCCCATGCTAGAATTTAGTAAAAACTTTCTATTTTAATCACACATGGACTCTCAGTCTGAATTATTTTACTCTGGCTCTGCTGGGCTATCTTATCTCTGCTAAATACCATTTTTTATATCTCACTATCAAAACAAGATCTTTCCTCCCCGTCTTCTGGTGTAACTCTGGGGGGGGGGCACATGGCATCTGGGGGCCGTGGCCGGTTGTGAGGGTCTCAGTTGGCTACGCACAGACCTGCCATTCACAGGGATGTCATCAGGTGCAGCTCCCTGATTGGTGGGTGTTGCGGGGGGGGGCGGCATTGCTTGTGACTTGGGCACACTTGCTGAGCAGTCTGGGGCCTTGGAGAGGTGCGTGTTGCCCCCCCTCCCGGAACGCCTGCAGAGACCTGGCCGGTGGCGCCTGGGCTGTGGGCTCTCTGGATGGACGGGGCTGCCTGGGACAAGGGGCCAGAGTGACCTCCCTGACGGGCAGGGCAGCCTTTGCGGTCCTGGTGGAGACGTGCTGCTGCTGCCCTCGGCTCCTGGAGCACTGGCCGACCCCCCACCCGACCACACCCACCGGCCTCAAGCGAGGCAGCGTGGGGCGGAGGCAGAGGGGGCCCGCGGGTAACATGAGCACCACTCCCCCCTCCCCCCCGCAGTATCCACACACACACACACGCCCCCCGGAGGGAGGGAGCCCGTTCCCAGCCCCCCCCGGACCCCCACAGTGGATGATTACCCGGCTCCTCCTCCGCATCCTGGCATTCCTCCAGGGGCCATTCACTCTTGGCTAGCGGCCCATTCTGACCTGGGGACGTCGCTCCCGCTGGGACTGGGATCTCTGTGGGGACAGTTGCCGAGATGTTGCACTGGCCCAGACGCCGGGCCCTTTCTCTCTGGCCCTTTCCGGCCTTCTCACAGGGTCGGTCCAGCCTGGGTGAGTGGGCAACAGTGTGGCCAACGGAGTTCCGTGCAGGTTAAGTGCCAGGGGGCATACATCTGCTGACGCCAAAGAACCCTAACCCTTTTAAACAGAGGCTGGTGGAGTTTGAAAGGGCCAAGGCTGGCCGGGAAAGAGATCTTGGGGTTGGGGTGAATTTGCTGTGAGTGGCAGCTGACTTATGGGTGGGGACCCCGTAGGGTTTTCAGGGCGAGAGACCTCCAGGGGTGGTTTCCCACGGCCTGTCCTGGCGTCACGCCCCTGCTGCAAGACTAGCCAAGGCCGGCCCTGCTTGGCTCCTGAGATCTGACCGGATCGGGCCAGCGGGGGGGGGGGCATCCCGGTCAGGGCCGCAGTGGCGAATGGCTCCTCCGTGGCAGTGCCAGCCCCACGTGGGCCAGAGCAGCCGTGAAGGAAGGCCGGCTCCTGATAAGAAGAAGGAAAACGGGGTTGCCACCCTGTGTGGGTAGATCACTTTCCCCTGAGTTAATAATAGCTCCTGAAGATGGGAGAATTGTGGTAGTGAAAATTCAAAAACGGGGAAAAGAAAGTGTGTTAGTTAATACTAGAAACAAGAGTCTTTTCCCTCAATAGAGGAATTAGGGCATAAATTATTAGAGACAGCGGAATTTGATGAATCAAGCGTTATGCTTCAAGGAAAAGATTAAAAAAATGTTGAAATATGTTATACATATGGATGAATAATCAGTAGCTGTTATAGACTCAAATGGATATAGATTTGTTTGTATATACTTTGTATGCGTTTAGAAAACTGAAAATAAAACCTGGGGGCGGGGGGGGGGGGGGGGAAAAAAAAAGCTCCAAGCCAGGGAGGAAAGAGCCAGTGCTGCCCTGCCCCTGGAGAGGCCAAGGGCGGAGCCTCGCTTGGCGTACGGGATGCAGTTCCGGTCACCGTGTCTCCAGAAGGACAGCGCTGGGCTGGAGAAAGCACAGAAGACCAAATAGCTCCCCTTTCAGAAACAGCAATTTGTATTTCTGAGGACAGAAACCATCACTGGCGACAAGAAGCAAAAAGCATACAGCTGAATAGCAGAGTACCAGAAGCCTCGGAGACCGGGGAAAACCCAACAGGCCGAAGCCCTCAGTCCCCTTGGCTGGGGCCCTGCCACCGTCGGCCCTGCCTGGTCACCTGTCTTCAGACCATGGGCTGCATGGGGGGGCCCTCCTCTGTCAGGGACCCCAGGAGGACTCCTCCCCTTGAACACAAGGCCCCCCCTCCCATCTCCTCTGGTCTCAAGCACCTTTCTTCCCCCAGCGCCTCCCCCCAGAGCCCCTTCCAGGGGAGATTCCCGAGGCAGACTAGCGGGAAGGGAACTTGCAATAAACCCAGATGCCAGCTTTGCTGCCAGGTACACCCAGACGACACAATCATTGGACCCAACAACGTCAGCAACACCATCAGGGGCTCCTTCACTTGCCCCTCCTCTGCTGCAGCTCTTTTGTCCTCTCGGGCTTCACTCATGACTCCCAGAGGGGGGCTCTGTGGACCATCTTTGCAGCTAGGAAGTTAGAGCTAATTGAGAGCGCCCTTCCTTTTGACCAGAGCACCTGAAAGCGGGGGGGGGGTGTTGAGCCCCTAAGCATGCATAAAGTGCAACCCCAACACTGACAGGGCAAAGTGGAAAATTCTTACACCAATGATCTGGGGTGAAATGCCACCTCCTCACACTCCCACCAGTTCAGAACCCACCGGCACAGAAAGGGTTCGGGTTCTTCTGGTACTCTGCTACTTAATCATTCAGCGTGGCTGGAACCTTATACATTCCCTAGAACTGTTTGACCTCCTGTCCTAACCGTTTTAACTGTTTGTTGTTAAATTGTTTGGATGATTTCGCATTTCCACTCCCAAGGCCTGCGCTGCCTCCCTGGGCGGCACCCTCCTGCTGCTGTGGCGGCCACCCCCTTCGGGCAAGACTTCCACCTTTTACAGCAAAAGCTGTGGTGCCCTTTGTGGCTTCCTTGGCTCTGGCTGGCAAGACCCGAGCAAGCGAAGAGCCTCCCAGGGCTGGCCTGAGGTTCCCCCCTCTGTCTCCACAGCCGAGGCCAGCTGCTCAGTCTGGAGGGCTGCCAGGCTCCAGGCCCCCCCGGGGGGGGGGCAGGGGGAGATACTGAGGCACAGGACACCCCCTCCCCACCTACCTCTGTGCAGGAGCTGAGCCAGCAGGATCAGGGCCAGCCACATGGCCTCCGGGAAGGGAAGTGGGTATGAAGGGCTCCGCAGTCCCGGGGAGGTTCCCAGCCAGAGACAGAGGCTGCCTGCCTGCCTGCCTGCCTGCCTGCCGCCTCTGTGCGTGTGTGTGCGTGTGATGGGGATTGAGCAACGGGGCTGCTGTGGCGAAAGAGAGAACGAGGGGGAAGTCTCCTCTCGGGAGCCAGCCAGCCAGCCAGCCACTGCCCATCTTGCGCAGGGCCACCGGCAAGAAGGAAGTGGCAGCATGGCGGGGGGGGGGGGGGGGGCCACTACAGCATT